AGGGAATCTAGCGTTTCAGGTAAATTGCTTGTGTTCCTGGAAAACAGTATGTTTTAATCCTCGTCCTTGCAAGGGAGCTTTTCCTATTAGAACCACTGAATTTGAACAGAATATATAGCAGCTTCTATAACAAACCCCTGAGCCAAAGCATCAAGTGAAAGCAGCAGAAGCCTTCTGTGCGCATGTGTGTGTGCATGTTGAACTCGGTAGGTTTGGGTTGGAGACCTTGAATACCTACCAGATTTAATTTTTTTAAATGATGAGATCTCACTAGAACTATCAAGGCTAATTTCAATGAAGGTTTGTGGGGAGAATATTAAAAAAAAAAAAAGAGAAAAGAAAAAAAAAAAAAAAAAAAAATTCTCCATCCTATTTTCCAGTCGTTTCTATTTTAAATGTAAAATGTGTGAGTTAGTTTTTGGATGTATCCCAAAGAATCATCTTTCCTAAAATCTAAGGGCTGTCTGTTTGCACAGTGATGTGATAACAGTGGGCAAAATATTTTCCTCTCTTCCTGAATTTTTCTACAGTTTATCATGTCACCTTTTTGTTGCTTTCATAATGCAAAGAAAACTTGTCTAAGCCATTTTGATATATTCCTCCTCTTTCTCACATTCGTCCTCTCAGTATGCGTGAACTTTCCAATACTTACTCATCCCTAATCCTCTCTCTTATTCTTGTGGCCTGCCATTTTCTTTTATGCTGGCCAGTATTCTTCTTTTGGTCTCCTTTTTTTTTCTTAAATGTCGACTCTCCAAAATCTTGTTTTGCAAAACATCCCATCTGGTGTGGATGGGATATAGAAACTACAGATGATTAGCAAAAAGAAAAGATTAGTGATTTGTCATAATCACTCGCATGCAGTCCATTAAGTAAAGGAAATATTAAGGTGTAGTTTTGGTACCACAAAAGAATTCGCAAGATTCATTGTTGGTTTCCTTATCTGCCAAGACTGCAGGGAAACCACTTATTTTCTCTCTGGTAATTCTTCAGATGCCAGAATAAGAAGGAAAAGGGAAAAACAGAGAATTGGGAAAGAAAAAAAAAATGCTGCAAGGCAGGAAATGAAAAATACTTCTCTTTGCCAGGAATATTTCAGAAAGTTGGTTTTTTTCTTGTTTTGTTTTGTTTTTTTTGATGGTGGGAGTAATTAATGTTTTAGTGACTCTCAAAACTATCAATTAAACAATGAACTCATGCCAGGTAGAATTCTAAGTACAAAGAACCAGGTTACCATTTCAAAGAAAATCTTTATTTAAAAGTACCCCAAGAGCCAAAAGAGCTAATCTGTTTGAGACATCACAGAGTTACCGTTTACTGTTGTACTGGCATTAATGCTATAAACGTGAGTTTCGCAATGTTTACAAAGTTCTGAATAATCTCAGTAATGTGGAAAAAATGTGAAGATTCCTGATTTGAGCATATATAGCTCTTCTATGGTTATCCTCACAAGCTCACATTTGGATGAGGAATAGGTTGTAGCCATTTAATGGAACATTTTTTTTTTTATGTAAAATATATTTTGAATGTATATGCCTACAGGCTCTGCCTTGTAGTATGTTCAAAACTCCCCTTGTGCTCAATGAAATTTTTATGATAAAAGATGCATGTGTTTTTAATCATGAAATTCCTATTTTGTTTATTCAGACTGGTTAGACTGAAGTTTAATTTCAGCCTTGCCAGCTAATTTTCTAATGGAAGTCTATACAGAGGAAATAATAATGCTATGATAACTGAAAAAAAAATTACTAATTTTTTAAAATATTTTTTAAGTGCTTTAGAGAAGCAACCCAAATAAAAACACCACCTTTGCTTCCAGAATGAAATACTTCATACCTGTTGAGAAAGAAAATGTGTATCTCTGCAGAAATTAATGTCACCCAGCAGAACTGAGATCTGCTGACGCTGGCTGTCCCCTCATGGCAGTGGAGTCAGTGGCAAAGCCCTATTGATGTCAGATGTGTTCAGATGCCTCCAGTATGCCTCTAGTCGTAGCTGTTCTGGAAATAAAAACACTTAAGCTCCCAGTAACTTTATTGGGTTGAAACATTCCTGGGAAAAGGAGTAGTGTTGGCACAAGGAAGGACGAGAGCACAGTGCCGATAGCACCAGCAGGTGTTAGTGGCTCTGCCAGAGGCAGGGCTGCTTTCTGTGTTGTCTTAACCTTTGAAGCATGTGAAGTCTAACATTTCTTACAAAGTTAGTAATTACAACTATTTTGGATATTACTTTTAGCTGTGTAAGAATTCAGTTGCTTTTTAATCTGACTGCTTATTGGCTCAAGGTGATTTCCATCTGCAATAGGTCCCAGAGTATATGGTGTATAGGAAAACTGATCCATTGAATAGTTCTTATTCTTCTCCCTTCTAATCACATACTAATTTCTTTCTTTGGTCTGCCACTTCTCTGCTGGTGAAAAACATCTCACCAGAAAGATAGTACAAATAGCTAATATGGCAGGAGACGGTCTTACCAGAAGCCTCTTTAGTAATGTGAAATATGGCAACAGATTGTTGACTGAAGATGTGGGTTAAGAAAGATTTGAGACTCAGCATTAGATTGTTAGCTGTGTTGCAGATTTCATCCTATCTTCTCTCGTTCTCTGCTTTCTAAGGCAAGCAGACTAAATCTGCCTTTTCATGTCAGGCTTTTCCCAAACCCTGCAGATGAGTGACCAGTAAGGGATATGGCATCCCATGTGAGGAATCTCTACTGTTTTCTGTGAAGCTACTGTAACGGCTTTGTGTTATTATCTCATGTTTTATATTGTAACATCTGGGTTTTATTTTTAATGTATCACATTATGCAAAAGTCACCACTGAATGGTGAGCAATAAACCTTACTCCCTATCCTGTAGTGACCCAACTACTAAAGGCTGATATTATACATGTAAATCTATCAGATTCATGTGAAAATATTGGTATATATAAAAATATATAGATACGCATGCATGTGTGTAAACATAAGTTGTTTAAGTGATAAATGCTATGAACGTACAATACGTTAGCCTTCTCTCAGCAAAGCACTAATCGCACCCTTTACTTTCAACGTATGTATTAACTATCAAAAGTTAAGCCTGGCTTAAATGAATGTCTAATTGGAGTCAAAGTGCTCAGTTTCTCGAAAGATGGAATATTTAATTGCATGGGTCGTTGCAGCAATTTATAAATGAGGTCAATATGAAAGAGATTATATTCTTTTTTTTTATGATTTAAATAATAGCACAAGTTTTATTAAAAAAAAAAAATGTCAAGAAGCATGCTAAAGTCTGTTGTCTGGGTCAAAATAATGTGTGGAAGCCAGTTGTGACGATTTTGTGTTCCTCTGTGCTCTCCTAAGAGAGCAGCAGGAACCCAGGAGGTACGAGACTGTTTACACTCTTTTCAAGGCTGCAGGCATGCTGTTAGGGGATACATCTCACCGGCTTTCTGCATTTGATGGCTTTGTTCTTTTATTCTGATG